TCCTGCAATTTTTATTGGCTCCGAGCCTAATTTTTGTAGATCCTTAGCCCGGGATTTTCTTGACATAAGGGAATCCAGGAATATGTCACATGTCCATATATGTGAGCACAGGATAATAGTGAAATGTAGATCAATTTTTAAAAATTTACTATGAAAAATTTAGAAACATTTTATTCGCTCCTAATTGAACCACGTGACGCGTAAAAGATAATAAAAATATCTTTTAAATAACGCTATTCTGCGGGTTTTGCTCTATCAAATGGTATAAGTTTGAAAACTGATTTATATGTAAATGGAAAATAATCTCAAGCTCAAAGTTTGTTAACATTTCGAAATCTATTTCTATTAGGAACTTGAAGATCTCTACTAGCAAAGTTTCTAGTGTAAATTTTAACTTTGAACTGGCGCTTTATTAAAGTAACATTTTTTCAAAGCTTCTTTACTGAGATTTGGCTACTATTTGCAAGATACTTTCGGGATCAATCCTACCTAGAGCAAGACATGAAGAATCTCTAGCCAATTTGTGTTGAAAAGTTAAGGTTAGTCTCGGACGAACTCGACTAGCTGCTAAGCTTTGGATATAATATGAAAAGGATAGTATTTTTTTATCTTTATCTTTTATCAATTTCTTCTTGTTTGTACTTATATATTAACCAGTTACTTATTTTGTTTCTTGATTAAAGCTATTTAGCGGAGGGAATAAATCAATGCCTTTGAAAATAGAGTTGAAAAAGATGAAAGGAAGGCTTTGAATTCTATAAAAAGCCACTAATTTGGGTGCATTGATAAAAATTAAAAAAAAAATATTGAATTGAAAAAAATATCAATTATAGATTTTTTATGATGAATTAGAAGATATTCAAGAAAAGGAAAAGGTGGATTGTAGCTGTATATCATGTATATTAGCTTAGTAAAAATCAAATTTATATCATATTTAAATGCTTAATTTAAACGACTACTACTTGGAATTTGTAGAATAGTTAGAAGTATTTCGTAAAATCGATGTAAATTCATTATTTTTAATGATCACAAATAGATTTGAAAAAAATGTATAATTTATCATTGATTCATGTAATTTTTTTATTATAATTTAATTTTTTTTATTTGATTAATTACAAATGTGCTTCATTATTTATATATAATAATAAAAATTATGGTAAAATCGTAAACCATAATAAAATCATAGTGATACGTGTTTGAAAAAGTATAAATAAAAGATAAATTAAAATATATAATACAGTAAATGTAAATATATAAAAAAACATCGAAAAATAGAACTTTTACACTTGTCTAAACCTTGTTTTAAATGCCTTGTTCAAAATGCCTTTTTAAAATGCAACCATTTCTAATGTATGTTGTGAAACATCTTTGTTAAAACTTCTATTCAATAAATACCAAACATATTTTTAAAATATTTAAAAACTTTTGAATACTCTAAAACACTTGCCTAAAATACCTTGTCTCAGATACCTTGTTAAAAATACCTTGTTAAAAATGCCTCTTTAAACCGTTCATTATTTGACTGCTTTTAGAATATGTTTTGAAAAATCTTTGTTAAAACTTCCTTAAAATGTTTCAAATATCAGAATTCAAAAAATATAAATAAGACACCTCAAGCCTTTTACCTAACAAATAAAACAAAAAACAGTAAACTTATTACTTACAAACTTACAAAATACCCCAATGGATTATTATTCTATATATGAAAACCTAGAAGAAGAAAGTTGGAATACTGACCCAAACGATCACGAATTCATGTTTACCTGGCCACAACAAAAGCAAGAAATTTATTAGAAGATCAAGTAATTCAAGATGAAGATAATGATATTGGAGATACATTATCTGAGCAAGATAACAATAATAATGATGATACAGAATATGATGAGATTTTGGAAACTAAAGCAACAAACCTATCACCTTGTTTTATCGTTGATAATTTAAACGGTGCAATCGGGCATTGCAATTCAACAGTTTTTCTAAAATCACTAGCACAATTAGTCGGCGCATGGGAATTAGAATTGACACCAGATGAATCTTTAAACTTAACCGAATTGGGAGTTTGCTCTAATCATTTCAACTTTGATCATGAGCAACTTCATTTGCCTGGTACTAAACAATTGAGATATTATACTAAAGGTATAGTTAGTAAAAAAAAATACTTATTATGCAATAAATATAAAAAGTTCTTTAGTAGAGGGAATGATTGTGTAGACCATTGTTGGAATATATGCGGGAGAGATATTCAAGTTCCGTGCCTTGGTTTAAAGTCATGCCCTGTATTTCAAAGAATTCCAAGAATTGCCTCAAGGTTTACTATTGATGACAGATACGTTAGATATATATGCGCAAGATGTTTCGAAAAACATGGTGGACATCTTCATAAACGTTTAGGATCTGGAAAGTCTCAAACATGTGTTAAGAACAATCGACATACAGAAGACCCTAACCATATTTTAAAGCTTTTTTCGTCTTGGTTATTTAACCTCTCATATTCTCAAAATAAAAACAAAAAAGAAGAGGTATTGCAGCATTTCATGAAATTATTGGAAACCTCGGAATCATCATTATCATTCTCAATGGATACGGATTTTAATTTACCTAGTTTATTGCTTGTAAAAATCGCTATGAAAATTAGTAGGTTTGATAATTTATCAGAAAAAATTTTTTAGTGCTGTTCTGTACAGATTTGCAAAAAAATCAAATAATATATTAAATGAAAATCTGTGCAAAACTTCAGACTCACCAGCTATAGCTATAGAAATTAAATACAGTTCTGCGCAAATTTTCAAAATATAGGAAATTTTGCAGTTTTTTTGCAAAAATTTTGCAAAAATCTGTATTTTTGCAAGTTTTTACAGATTTGCACTTATTTAATTCTCCTGATGTTACTCATCTACAGATAAAAAAATTATAAAAGTAGAAGAATGCCGTCAATTTGGAGAGATATTAGGAAATACATTATGCAATTCGTGTAAAGATATTGAAAAAAATCGTAATGAGTTAGAAAATCCATTCTTATTAAACAAATATTATAATAGTTTCCCTTTGATCCTTACCAGCTTTTTTGATGGATTAATCGAATCTATTGAAAAACGAAAATATGAAGTGAGAAAAAGAAAAAAATAGACAATATAGAAAAAAAGAAACTGAATTTAATACAGGTTCTATAAAAAAAATTACATCTTTTCTTGCATCTGTTATTTTGACAACAGCATTTCGATCATGGAAAATATGGCTTACCTATATCATAGCTTCTTTATGTAAAAAGCCTAAATTGATATCTTCTCTGCAAGCCATATTACACACAGTACATATTACATCTCATACCTGGAAACACGAAACAATATTAGAAAAGGAACGTATACATAAGTCTAATCCTTTAACAAGATTAATTAAAGGTCCAAATATATGGAATGTTGCAGTGATTGACAATATTGACTTCAAGGATATTGTTTTTAAGTATGGAAACATATATGATGTTACACAGCAATCGTCGCATGCCACTCTAAGAATAGTGTTTCAATTCGAACTTCTATTCGAGTTATCAATACTTACTCAAGAAAATCTACAAATCCAAGAAAATTTATTTGGTTAGTTAGTATTTACATCCGAATAGGATGAAAAATTTGATATAATATTAAAGCAATTAATAAATAAATATAACAAAAATTTTGGAATTGAAGAAATTAATGATGAAATTCTTATTATTGTTGGATCAGGATGCAAAGTAAACCTACCAAATGTCATTATATTAGAGCCTGGGCCAGAACCTAATAGTAATGAATCCGTATTTAAGTCAATCGATAAGTATTTGGAAGATCTTGGACAAGGTGTTGTTGATTTAGCATGCGATACGGCTATTTTTGCAAGAACAAAAACATATACGAATAATAACTTAGCTTGTAGATTTATCCTTGGGCAATAGCATACTTCGAAGGCTATGTGCAGTGCCTTGATTGCATATTTAGTGGATATAGTATTTATAGCATGGCAGCGAAACTTGGCGTCTGATTTCTTGACAAGTTAGAGCAAAACGTAGACTATCGTGCAACTTGTAGAGTATTAGAATTAATACACACCACTGTTGGAATAGCGATTTACCTTCATTTAAATAGTATTAATATGCCATTAGATATAGAAGCTATATTTAGAGGAGAGAATAATATTTTAAAAGTGTGGTTTTTATATTACCGTTTAGCTGGATATTGGAAAGCTCATCATATAGGTATTTGTTTGGGTAATGCAGATATACAATTAAAGAGCTTGGCTGCATTTTTGCTATTATTTCTTGCTACTGGAAAAAATATTTATACAGCATTAGTCATAACTTTTTTAGAATCAGTGTCATGTTATCCACAGCAATATGAGCTATTCAAGCACGTTGCTTCAGTAAATATTACTAGAGAAAACCACTACTTAGCTTTTGACGAAGCTTTGGAGCAATACAGTATTAAATTTGTCAAGCAAAATTTGACATCTGGTTTATTAGACCCTGCTAACCTAAAACAGAAAATAATGGCAATTCAAAATGAACATGAGAGAATACTATTATTGTACGATGAATTTGTAGAAGATAATAAGATTAATATAGGAAATTGTAAAATCAAACAATATACTAAAACTTTATAGCAGCTTGTTGACGAACTTACTTTCGCATTTTATAATCCTGATCCTACTCAACATGATCTTTTTAAACATGCCCAGGAAATGAATCGAGATGGTTACTTACGAATGTTCAATTTTTACAGAAATGGTCTTGTTCGATTATATAATATTTTACACAAAGATATCTATAAAACTAAAGAAAGAGTTACAAAAGGAAGACAGGTTGAAGAGTTAGTGTTTCGGCTAAACAATATTTATTATCGAAAAAAGAATAAGCTCTTTAAACTTACCCGATCTTGTTAATTTCAATGTTAAACGAACTTCTTATATATAAAAAATAGTGAAAATTTTTGATCTACTGTACTAAAAAAATTTATTAATAAACTCTACTTTGCTTTTCTAAGTTAATATATAACCTGCTGCTTATACTAACTCGATCTGTTAAAAAAAATTGAATAACTTTTCTCTCTGAAAATAATTCGAGCAACAATAAAGTTAAAAGTAATACACCTTTTGACCTCGTAATATATAAAAAAGTTAAGTAAAAAAGTAAAATAAGAAGGCTGCTTGTAAATGCAACAGAGCCCGTAGAACAAGTTTTATTAAAGCATATAAGTCGAACTTTTAGAAAGTTTTACAAGTTTTCTTATTACGTTCTAAAAGTAAGTATATTAAATTTTGTGTAACGTTACTATGTAAAATCGATCTGCATGACATATTCCCTGACTGTTATTATATGCTAAGAGGCATCGAGTATCTGAATGAATATTAATGTAATTTTTGACATGTCACTCTGGTTATAACGACATCTTGCTATAGAGAAATATTTAAAATCTTGAATCTATATTTAATATGAAAATACATTTGGTTAAACCAACATCTAATGTAACAGACAATTTCTTTATTTTTGGAGAGTATTGAATAACATGTATATGTTATGTGTCATTTTGCAATTCATGTTACTTTCAAAATAACATATGTTAATTTAAAATTGCAATTTAACATATGTCTAATAATAATCGGTATCAGTATAAAAATATATACATTTGAAAAATATTTAAAATTAAAAAAAGTACAATAAAAAATAATTTAAAAAAATTAATTATGCATTAATATGTTTCATGAAAATATCCTTTTTCAATTAATATAGCTTTTTCTAATAGTCGAAAACATATACAGTATGTATTATGCATTAAACACTATGTACTACAATTAATGATTGCTGCATTCGCCTCTCAATACACAACCACAGCATCTAGTGCAAAGTGTGTTGTTTTTGCAGCATGAGCAGCTTTTAGTTTTACAGTTTGTTTTACTGCTATGACAATTGTTATTTTTTTTAGACCTCTTTAAATTATCTTGAGTATTTTGTATACTTCGTATAGGGCGTGTCAAATTTTGCTGTGCAAATTCATTTCTTAGAGAGATAAAATTGCCTAGTGGAATAACATCAAGTGCTGGATATTCATCTGTGCCTAGTAATTCTAAT